TTTGAAATTTCTCTGTATGTATATTTTGCAGGTTGAAATGATGGACTCCAGTTTCTTGTAAACAGTAAAAAACAAACAATGCCAGTGCAGTGTTCTGGAAACCACACAAAAGCTGATGGAAAGGCATTATGAATCCATTTCCCACTACTGAACGAAGGCTGTTTTTGTGTACAAGAGACCAAAGTTGAGCTGTTTGTGTATGGGAATGAAAACCAAGAAACATTTTGAGTAACTAAGATACACACTTGGTCAGTACTTAACAGCTATTATTCCCATTTACCTACTCAACCTGGTTTACAAAAGTTCACAATTAGTGCTCAAATTTAGAACATAACCACCTTGAARKGTGGCTTCTACTTTATCAACCTAYTAYATTTCAAGATGGARCTCAGCAGTTCATTAAATTTGGAAGTAGATGGCTGTTATGAAAAAGGAAACCATATGGTGACTCACAAAAGGCCACAAGTGCTACAACCTTAATTTGGTAGCCAGTCCAAAGGTCAAAATACATGCCAGATTTTGCTGGTTGCTGGCTAGTAATAAAAACCCTGGATCCTGACAAATGTAAAATCATGTAGTATTGAATATCCTGACAAGCTCAGCAAGACAAACAATTCAATCAGATCAAAATCAGAACTATATTTGTAAATACTGACAAAGTACATACTGTTGTCATCCGGTTGAAATTTATTTTGATAGTTATATTATATACAAAATTTTTATAATTTACAAATATATTTATTACTCTACACAATAAGAGAAAGTTAGTTGTGACTCTTCTCCCATTCCTCCTATCTCCCTCGTTCCTGCCTTTACATCAAGGCTCTAGATGCGACATAATTTGTTACTAATGATCAATAATGTTCATTGATCCAGATTTCTGCTTTGAAMGTGTTTAYAAGATTCTTCTTTCATAGTTTTTTTGAAGCTCCAAATTACCCTGGTATTATTATCCAACCAATAAATTAATGATCTCTGTGATTTAACACTGTCTTGTAATAAACTGGTATAAATATCCACAGGTAGCCCAAGMACTGCACTTGTCGGCTTTTCTCTGCTGGTCTTGTGGGGGAAAACGAAAAAAATAAAAATAAAAATTGTAGGAAATCTTAATAAAATGAATTCAAAATCATACAATATGTTGTTCTTAATTTATTACACATCTATACAAAGTTTCAGCTCTCTGCAGTCAAAAAAACTGCTTTTTTCTTAATGTTGGTCCCCTAGTATTTATTATCTAAAGCAATAGCAATTTTATTAATATTTCCTACATTTATTTAATTTTTCGTTTTTCCCCACGAGACCTTCAGAGAAAAGCCGACAAGTGCAGTGCTTGGGCTGCCTGTGAAATATCAAGCACAAGTAGCCCAAACCTTCGATATTTTTTAGTTGATTGATTGAAAATGTAAAAGCTGTAAATAAAGTAAAAAATAAGTAAAAATATTAGCATAAAAGTGTGTTTTCAAGAGAATTGGACACTTTGAAGTTGATAATTGTTTGGTTCCTGATTAAAAGATTTGGGCTACCTGTGTATGAAGTATTTTCAAAAAAAACATCTGCATCAACAGGCGGACCGCCTGTGCATCAAGTCAACTAGTAAAATTAGTAGTGGATCAACTTGAATGCATCAAAACATMTCTGATCCATTAGTGATCCTCTCATCCAACAGTGATACCCTACTGATTAGAGTCATCATTGCTGGCATCACTTTGCTTCTGATCAGCATCATTGGTTTCCATGGCATCCATAGAATCATCGGCATTTCCTGAGAAGTCAAACAKATCTTGGCTTTCTTCCTCTTCTTCTTCCTCATCTTCACCATCACCAAATGGGAAGTCGTCATCATCTTCACTATCGTCACTATCACTGTGCTGTAAATCTTGAAGCAGAATGCTATCTAATGTTTCACTGGGGGGTTCAGCCAGAGAATCATCATTTCCTGGAAATGAACTTTGATTTTGTGAAAGGTCAGCAAATGGCCTGTCAGTTTGGGAGTTGACAATGCTGCGCAGCATGCTGTCTTCATCTTCATAACCTTCTACATCTATCATTTCTTCATCTTCACCCGTTTTCTGACCTRTAAAGAGATATGTCGGTTTCAATGCTATGTGTCTCTAATGAGTGAGAAAACCAAATGTCTTGAGAATTATTCAAAATCCTTCTAATCAACAAGTGCAATAGTCATAGGAACATTTTCTCAGTTTTATTTTCAATGAAGGGCAAACATTCAAATGTCAGCACATTTGTAAGACATTTGTAAGTAGTTATTAAAACTGACAGTTGGGTTATGGTCTTTTGCAGGAAAGAAAACTTTGTTTCCAATCTTTCTACCATGTAAAGTTTACCCTTATGTTACAACTGTTCCGCAAGAAAAAAAAGGAAAATGAAACTATTAATTAAACTCTAGTTATCTCTTTTAAGTACAACACTCACCTTGCTTGGGAGAACTTCCCTGTAGCTCGCTAAATGAATCTGGCATTTCACCAGTGTCATCATGACTTAGAAGACTGTCTTCTTCTTTGCTTGTGTCAGGGAAGCCATCCATGCTGTTCTCATTTAGTGAGTCGACTCCCTGCACAGATGGTGGTTCACTTGCCATATATGAAGATGCATCATCAGCTATTGCTGCTGTTATCTCACTCTCGAATTTTGACAACTGATCGTCATGCTAGAGGCAAATGAAGATATTAAGTTTACAGCGAAACCCAGTTGCAAAAAAATCCTGCTAAAACTATAATTGCAGCCACGTAGCTACGATCAGGCAAGCAAGGCACTTGACTCGATAAAATTTTATCGAGTTTTCTTTAATTCGTATCCAAAATAAAAAAGTTCGATCAATGGTGTAAGATAAAAAAGTCACAATATGCTTGGCAAAACGCTGGAAATCACGTTTCCGAGTACGACCGCTTCCACCGGTTACGTTAAGTGCCTTGGTTAACATTTTCCTCTGGCTACGGCGCTGAATTGAAATAGTCAAGTGTTTAGACAAAGTGTTAGGAAGAGTGTCCATCATGAGGATGGGGAAAAAGTACAAAAACAAATAAAAAAGGAAAATTTAAAAAGATGCCCGTTACTATGGAGATTGATGAATAAAACAACATGGCTGCATGTGGATATATAAAGCCGTGGTCATGTTCCTTGATGGAATCAGTGGCTGGATTAAAAATTAAAGATAATTATTACCAACACATTTAGAGGTTAATTTTTGGAATGTTTTTTGTTTTTTTTTTTTTGTACCTCTTTCAGGAACTCTTCACATGATTCTACTATTCTCTTTGCTGTCTTTGAGAATTCATGATGCTCTCCTGTAAACATACAAGCAGAGTTGTTTATCAGTTAACACTTGCAAATCCTACTTAAGGTAAAAGTTGGCCTTACCATTATATAACACACTGTTACTATGCAGTAGCTTGACACTGTCTATAAACTCCTCTCGTGAACGATACATCCCTTCTTGTACTTGCTATTTTTATCAATCAAATGATAAAATGTTTACAACACAAATTATTATCTAAATTAAGTAAAATATATAGACTAATAGCTAAAAAAGGCAAAAAAAGAAGCAGAGATTGGGATTTTGCAGTGTGATGATGTGGTGGTTTTTTATCTGTGTTGACATTCATTGACAACCTTTTGAAGAAGACACTGAATCTTCCCTTTTAAATTCTGTTCCCATTTAAATTCTGTTCCCATTTAAATTCTGTTCTGCATGCTGTTTGTCTTGCAATTTGATATTTAATTAATATTTTTTGATATTCAATTAATATTTTGTTTTTGTTATACCTGTCTAAGTGTTTCTATGTCCATTGGATTCTTGATGACTTCATAGTAGTCTGGGACTTGTTTACTATTAACTGGCTTATGGAATGGCCATGACTGAAATATAAAATTATCAGTTGATGATTTTATTATAATAACTTTATTGGAGGTAATAGAAGCATGCAGGCGTCACTGGATTGATCCCATAATACAGTCAAAATAATTTGATTAGAACCAAAGAAAACAAAAAGGTTAAAGTGAAAGACAAGTGTTGACAAATTACCTCAGGCAAGGTTTTGATTTGTGCTACAATATTCTCAAGGATCCATGAAAAGGATGCCTAGAAGTACAAAGATAAGAATATTTAAGAACAAAATGTGATTTATCATATGATTTAAGTTTTTTTCTAGATATCAAAATTATCAAAATTAATGTAATGTAGGTCTACTTGACACCACGTGGTGCATAAGGCCTCCACAGCACTCTCCTCCAATACTCTGGTTTTAAATGTATAATTGTAATTTGATATAGTATTTTTAATTTTTAATTGTAATTTGAAACAGAAAACACACAAAGATGAAGACAGTAATAGTGGCACATACCAGAGCATCGTCTCCAAGTAATGGATTGATTTCTTTTTCAATCTGAAGGTACTCATCTTCTTTCTATAATGCAAACATATCAGGGAATGTAATGTGGGCAATGCTGAAACCAAATAATAAATGTACTTCTGTACAGATTTACATTTGCTAGTTTTACCTCTGCAATGGATTTGGTACAAATATCAAGCATGTTTTGGGCAACTGCAGTCAAGTGGTGCTGATGACCTATCATTATTATGAAGATTAGTTATAATATATACAAGATTCAAAAACGTGTTGGGTTAAAAGAAGGTTACATTATCAAAATATAATGAATATTTAAAGTGCGCTATTCATCTCCTTGATACACACCATTGTACAAGACACTATTTGAAACAAGAAGTGAGCAGTCCTCAAGAAAATCCTCTCTTGATAGATACTTGTGGTGCCTTACATTCTGCACAAGAAAATGGTTCAGCAATTACTGACTTTAATTTAATGAACTACAAAATATATGAGCAATTAGACATTCATTGCTTGATGTAAATTTTTGCTAACAAGCGATTCATTATTTGTGTGAAAGACTATAATCAAAAATTGGACCAATTAAACAATGGAAAACAAAGGATTTGTACTGATTTTCACAGTTTCATTAGCAAACTATTTGACTAAATAGACATTGAATACATTTAGTCACAACCAAAACATAGGAAATGAAACAAAGATGTTTCTGTACCTCTCGTAAGGTCTGCAAGTCCATTGGATTCTTGACAATCTTGCTGTAATCTGGGACATTTTTTGTTGAAACTGGAGTGTGGAAGGGCCAACTCTAAATGAATACATCAAAGGTAAATGATACATCATGAAGGTACAATGTATTTAATTTCCAGTTGGTAAAGATACAGATTTAGCACTACAACATGGTCTTTCACTGCACTTTAAGCACAGGAGTGCCCAATGTGTGCTAAATGTTTGGTGTGTGACGAGGTGCTTGTTTACACAAACAACTGTAAAAATTATAATGAAGCACCTCAATGTACACAAAACAACACATGAAGACGCCAGGTTGTGTAAAAACAATATATTCTTACTTCATCGACTTCCTTCATCTTGTTGATGACTTGTTCTAACATGAGTTGAAGAGCAACCTAACGAGGAAAAGAGATGAATGTCACAGCTGACAATTAGTCCTTCAAAATGCAAGAAAATCTTGCAAAATTCATCTAAAGTTGTATCATCTCTGTGATTACAAAGCAATCAATCGCAAAAATGATGTGTCAACTTGATGGTCTCAAAGCATTCAACAAATCCTGGAAATTTATCAGATTTCATATTCTATACATTCAACATTTTAAAAAATTATGTTTTTGAGAGACAGTTCTAACATACACAACATATTGAGAAATGAATGTGTCAATTATAATGAATTAACAAAATTTCAATGAAAATTAATGACTCTTCAACTTCATTATATAAATTCAGCCATGATTTACCATCAAACAACTAGTATACAGTTTATTAGTTACCTCTGGGTTTGCTCTTCTTCTGTTGATAGACTTGCGAGGTCTCTGAATAATACAAGAACACAGTGAGCTAAAGCACAAATAATGACATTGATCTTACTAATGTTATATAAGTAGAAATGCATACCTTTAGATAGTCGCAGTGCATAACACCAGAGCGCCTTTTCTTCCGAACTATAAATAATAATTATATGTCTTTTTTTAAGCTGTACCGAACTATAAATAACAATTATTATAATRTTATTTTTAGCTGTATACTCTCAGTTTCCATGTTTTATTATTTAAAAGCCATAGTTCATTCCTTATTACAATGACAAGAAAAGATAGCCTAGGGGTTCTGAATAAAAACAGTTCTTACTTACCAGATTCTTTTGGAAATCTCAATACCAATGATTTTCTTTTAAGTTCATTTGTACTAAAAGCCAGCMAACAATATTTAATCAAAAATGCTGAAGCTATAGCATTATATTACAGCACTGTTAAAAGTCTCTGACCTGYTTTTTATTCAGACATTACTTACGATTCTAGRAATGCTTTTCCAAGGGTAATTTTTGTGCCTTCAACTTTGACAAGATCATCTTGCGGCATGTTAGATTCTTCCTCRGCAACCTGCTCATCRGTCATGGCAACAGAGACTGACGAGGGATTGTTGTCTTGGTACAATGGACAATTCTTATTTGTCCKCATATGACCAATTGCACCACACGCACCRCATTTCAACTGTCATTTAAAAACTCTCATAAGTATCTATAACTGACTGAGATACATTTGAGTGGTAAAATGAATGGTCATGGCAAGATTTTCCAAAAAGATAAGATGAAGCATATAGAATTTTGTGATTCTGAGACAAAACTGATTGAAAAATTATATTCTCAGAATTTCTGAGACAAAAATTGAGAAATCTGAGATACAAAAGTCACTACATTYAACAATCACAACACCTCTCACAGTGGCTTTTAAGAAAATGTAAGATTTTGCGTTATACCTTTATGCTAGCATTGCTTGGGGGTTTTTCTTTCTTTTTCTTGACTGGTTGTAGTTTTTCCCTCTCTTCGTTTCTTCTAATTCTTCTTAACTGCTCCTGGATTCTGAAGATTACCAAAAATTCATCAAATCTCAATTCAGTTTCAATTCATTAAAAGTTTGGTTTACTTAAATGGATAAATCAATGTCATATGGAAATAGGTTTTTTATCAACAACTTATTTATTTTTAACAAATATCCCAGAAACAAATGTCTAAGGAGAAATAGTTTTATTTACCTTCTTTTTTCACGTCGTATTTCTTCTTTGTGSACTTCATCAACACTTGCAAATTGTGCCCTTCATAAACAAAACATCAAGAAATTAACTCTCTCTTGTCTTTTTCTTTAGGAAACAAGGAATAGAAGAGGAAACGGTTGGTTTTAACAGCCCCTCATTTTCTTACCTTATATTTTTATCTTTATTTACAATTCTTAAATATGCATCAATGACTGCCTGGTTTTTYACAACTTCTCTCCTTACAAACTCTTTTCCTTCATGACTTTTGAATATTCTCTGGATGACCAGCTTGCGACCAACCTAGTACMAAAAAGTAAAACAATACAAAATATAGTTAGCTGTCCAAGCAACCACACAATTGAAACCAGAAGGTAGTGATTGAGAACAATTACTCTTTTAAAGAATGTCATAAGGGTTGGACATTACTATGTCCACATTTCTTTTCAATTACTTACATTTGATGATTCATAGCTCATTACAGATGTTGTATCATCATCAACATCCATGGACTTCCTTGAACCATCTTTGGGTTTCTCCCCTACAACAAAAAAATATTGGATAAATGTAATTATTATGATAATGATATACCCATTTTTTGCAATTTTTAGTTTGCTTATTTGTTTTTTGGTTTTTACTTTCCATTTGTAATTACCTGAAGAAGACTTTCCATTCTATGAAAAAAAAAATTATACAAAATTAGATAATATGCTTTCCGCAAATTCATAGAGAATTCAATAATCCAATTGCAGGTCTACAATATTGTCTCAATATTGTTGTTGTCAAGGTGATGGATTAATGGTCCTACAGTTTCTTCACTTATAATATGGTAAAATGTTCTTAAAAAAATACTTCAATATTGTCTTTGTCAATGTGATGGATTAATGGCCCTACAATTTTTTCACTTGTGGTAATTTATAATAAATTTTATGCTAAACCTATCCGTGTACATACATTGTCCTTGGGTTTATCTTCACTTAATAGTTTTTGAAGTTCTCTTCTTTCTGCTTCTTCTTCTTCATGTGATAACTAAAGATAAAATATTAGGAATTAAAATACATTATTCATTTAGCTCCTAATAACAGTTTTCCAGTTTAAAGGCACTTATGCAAGGTCCCATAAAAATATAAGCTTTTTTGCCTAGTTAATACTATATGGGTCATATTTTAAAGAAAACCAAATGAAAACCAAGTAMGCTATATTTTTAACACCAAAGGCAAGAGATGAGCCAACATTGTACCTGCACAGCCGTTTTCTTGTTTGCAAGCATGCTCTCCAGGTTCTTTCCTAGTTCATCCATGTCACTCTCTTCATCGCTGCTGCTACCTTCATCAGTGGATAGTTCTTCTTTTGAAGCCAATACCCTATGAAAATAGTGAATAAAAATTAGTGAATGAATGCACACAATTAAATACATCATGTAAATCCCTRCTCCAGAGAATTTACTTGAAACAGCTTCATGTTCAGAGGATGCTCAGCTTGACTATAAAATTATGGTCTTGAAGGAATTGAAGCTTTTCTTATAACAAGAGTTGAGTACAACTGATGAAAACCAATATAATTTCAAACAATAAAGAAATTTCTYGAATACCTATTTTGAAGATCAAAAATACGYTGACATTCTTCTTTGTATCGTTCTTGATGTTCTGCAATGGTGAACCTGGATCCCCTGGCAAACTTGCTCATTCCTGTTGAAATATAGTGATATACGTATGTTTGAGGAAACATAATAACATAAGTCAGAGTTTAACTTCACTTCTAGCACAGGGAAAAGTACTGGCATCTTTTTAATGAAGAAAAAAACAGTTGAGTAATATAATGATAATGCAGATTTCATAATTATTAATATAAAAAAATAGTGCCATATGATCGTGAGGTTCAGTGACTGTACCATGGGTTGCTTACAATGATAGTCTTAGTTTCAGTCCAAGTCCAATTTCAGTTTCAATTTGTTGGAACTTAGGCACAAGTACGTAGCATCTTACCTTCCTCTCCAGATTTGGCAGCTTCTGTAGACATTGTCCTCACAACATCAATAACTTCCCATCGAGAAAGCTTCTTAATCTGTCAAAATATTGAATTTTATGTGAACAACAATATAATGAATGTGATTAATATTATTATTAATTTATTATTATTATTATTTCCTAAAGAAATTTATAATATATGTCATATATTATTCTTATTAAATTATTCTTGTTAAATCTAATGTTTGTATTCATTTAAAAAGAGTCCTAAGCTCGCTTTCAATAGGCAGTGGCTAACTCGAAAGCTAAGCTCCTTTAGCCACTGCACACTTTCCCCTATAACAAACATGTAATACCCCATAATTATCTATAATAGATTAATAATATTCCTTGTAAAATAAGTATATATGTGTGTAAAATAAAAATTGAATTGAAAAAAAAATATATGTAATTGTGTTGAATGTTTTTCTCCCTCACCTCTTCATCTGAGACCCCAAAGTCTCTTAAAACTTGTCTTGCTTGTTTTAGTGAAAGTCTTCTCAAATCTGCATCAGTTCCTGTCACTGTTTTTTGCTTGCGAATCTGAGCAGCAGCTGAAGCAGAGTCATCCTGCCAATTATGATATSAAATTGAGATCAATGTTGCCCAGTGCTCAAAACCATGAATAAGCAACACAGCATTATTAATGTAGTACAAATACATGTAYATGTTTTGCTGTTGCTGTTGTGCTATAAAAGTCATTCAGTTACACTACATATCACATTGTGTCCTGGTGTATTATATGAACCTCTCTGAACACAGGTGTCAAAGCGTTGTCACTGAGTTGTGTTAGGTTCCATTGTCATTGTATTGTTTATCATATATTGTTTTGCATTGGGTTAGCACTGGTTGTATAATATGGTGCCATCATGATATTGGACTTGTTAGAGTTGATATTATCATGTCCAGTATGTTCCCAGCTGTTGTGTTGTTTGTTGAATATGTTTTATTGTATTGTGTTAGCTGTGCTTATATTATTGTCAGTGTTATATTAGGGTTTATATATCATGACTGTGTTGTACTTGTATAGTGCCATCTTTTATTTTCAAACCTTGTTTGCCATGGGTTTATTTGGTACTCTGATATATGAAAACCCTTCTCCACAGCCAGTTGGATCAGCACTTCCTGTCACAGCAAGCTGACACTTTCCTCTCATTGCAGAAATAAATGCTCTTGTGGTATTCCATGGAGCCATACGAATCTGTTTGACATATAAGTTTAAGTCAATATTTAAGCACAGAGAGTAAACAAGGGAAAAAAGTAACTATAAATATACAAACTGTAATTTATTTAGCACTCTTGCTTCACAAAACAAACCTCGTCATCAATCTTTTGATCATCATTGTCATTATCATCATCACAAGAGAACAAGGACTTTTCTCCATAACCTGCATCCTATAAGAAAAATAAAATAAAAAATGATGAAATGCAATTTAAATCTTAATCAAAAGACAGGAATCCCATGTAAACTTAAAAAATGTCCAACTGACACAAAATTCTTAGAGACCAAAAGCAAGCCAACATCTGCCATCATTTCACTTTCTCTCCATGGAAACTTGGTATAATTTTCACATCAAATATATGTATGATGCTTTCTTACTTTAAGCCTCTGTTCAGCAGCCTGCATGCTATAATAAGCACATGCTTGTTCTGGAGACACCATAGCTCTCATTTCTTCCTCACTAGG